AACTCTCTAAAGCTTTTTGCTTTAAACAAAGTTTTTTTGAAACTCTTTCTGTTATTCTTTACAATCAAAATGTTTCATTACATTTATATTAAAAATAAATAATAAAAATGATTATTATTAAACTAAAAGCGTTTAATAAATAAACATTTAATATAAGTATTGTTTTATAATTTAATTTTGTAAAAACATTTGCTGAAAACTTGCTAATTATTAGACATCAAAATCTTCCATTCATTCTTTATAAATAACGAAATCATCCTAATTCGAACAGAATGGTGAGCGTAAATTTTTATAAAACAAGCTTTTCAACTAAACTAATTATCAAGAGAACAATAAAAAAATAAATGGAAAATAAACTTCAACAGTCATCGGCATCAGCCTGTACCCATCAGCATCAGCATCAACCAAAAGTAAACATCAGTGCACCCGTAAAAATTACCAAAGGTTCAAAAGATCATAGTAAAAAAACCTTATCCGTCTCAGATTTAAAGTGTTAATGGTAATTAGTATGAACAACGAAGAAATGAACATATTTAATACAATTTTAAAGGACTATAAATTTTTTTTTGATTTACACATTTATGTATTAAAAATATATATTTTTTTAAAACACTAAAGTATTTAATAAGCTAAATATTCAAAAACTTTCTGAACAGTGTATTTCATAGTGTTTTTATCAATTAAATAGTCATTTAAGCTCTTTAAAAAGTTACAAGAGAATCATGGAAATCGTCAAAAAAGTTTTGTTAAATATTAAATACTATTAGGCCTTTTGGTTTATATTTATAATTTAAAAATGAAAATGAATATAAAAGATGACAATGTATGTAAATAATCGCTTAGTTGCTAATTGTGGTGGGGATCAAACTCTGAACTTCTTGTTTATGAGGCGAGTGCTCTACCACTACACCACTCTTGTACTATTATATACCTTTAAAGGGATCTCAAACTCCCAACACATGTTGTGTTCATATTAAATATAATGTTAAAAAAAGGTTTGAACCAAGTTTTTTTGATTAAAAATAAGTAATAAATGCACACCGAGAAAAACTAATGTTGTTGTTTTAGCCGAAGCTCACCTTCTCCATTTTTTTCAATAACTCGGAGTCTTTAAATTATACGTTGCAATCTACAGACTTTGGCAATTCCTTTGAAGCGCGTTTAATTCATCAAAGTTTTAGCATTTGACGTCATGGTAGATTTTTAACAAAAGTAAAGCGTAATTAAACAAAGCTGCATTTTTCTACTTTGATTCACAAAGTACGATGTCATAATTTTTTAACATACAGCAAAACAACTTTTACAACAAATTTTTGTAAAAATCAAAAATAGTAAAAGCTTTTTATTTCATAGGAGGAACTTTTTTTTTTACTGATATCTTAATAATTTTTAGATTTATATATCTTACTTATAATTCTTTTGTTTTTAAATTAAAACAAATATTAAAACTTTACTTACAAATCTTACGATTTTCAAACAAGTGTTTTACATTATATAGAACGTTATGTATACGGTCTCTCGTTTTTGTGCAAGAGAGTGCAGTATTATATATTCTGAATCTTACTCATTTTTATTTAAACAATAGGAACTTTTTTCTAACTTCTCTGGTTGTTTTTACGCTATAATATTTTTTGTTTTCCCGTTAAAAAAATTAAATTAAAAAAGTATTTATTAAAAATTAATTTTATTAACTGACAGTATTAATTAGAGATATTTGATGAATTGTTAACTTTTTTTATTATAAAAATTTTTGATTACGCTGATTTATTTTAAATTGCTAAATTTGCTGAATTGGATACGGATAAATAGGAAATATCATTTTATTTTACATTTGATTTTTGATAATGAAATTTTTAAAATGTCGGCAACTCCATACCATTTTATATAACTTATATTTTTATACTCCATACCGTTTTATATAACTAATATTTAACAAATATAAGGAAAAATTATTATTATATAACGCAATAATTAACACATTAATTAATGGCAATAATTGATAAATGGTAATTTAAATTGTCAAAATGTCATAACGCGAGTTAAAAAACATATTATATTTGGTATTTCCCAATTTTTGTCGTATTTGGCATTTGTCTCTTAATATGAAAAATTTTTAAACACAACAAATCCAAATTTTCAAACAATTTTCTCTTCCAATTTTCATTTATTCAAAGAAAAGTTACTATTAAACTTTTATTTCTCTCATCTAAAAAAAGAACGAGTGACGCAAAAAAATATATATATATTCTATACAACGCTTATTCATTCGAAGTTTAATTTCTCTTTTGTTCTACTCTTTTATAAAAAGAGCGAGCGATGAAATAAAAACTTTTCTTTCTTAACATAAATTCATACTTAGAGATAAAATTAAATTAGAAATAAAGCAACAATAAACAAAGCAACTAACAGATTAATCTGGGACTATTTTGATATTAATGAAAATAATCAACATTAACAACATTACCAACAACAATTATCAAATAAACAACACAATATCGCATAATTTTAGGGGCTTTTTATTTTTATTGCTTAGTCGTTCTAAATAATAAGTAAATTTAGTTCAAGTTAATATTTCAATATTTACAGTTGCCATATAATAAATAAATGGTGTTTAATGTTCAACTTTTTATTTAATTATTTATTTTTTACCTACATTTGTTACTAAAAACTTTCAAACCCCCGTCATTAAAATAATTTGTTTTAAATATATTTCAATGTGATTATTCAAACTAATTTTTTTTGCTTGACTTCCCAAACTTCACGCAAAGCAAATTAAGACAAAATATTGTCTAACAATAAAAATGCTGTTACTAATTTTATAAGGGTAATTAATGTAAAACAATTTTTTATCAGAGTCTTGATTGAGATAATAAATGTTCATAATTTATAAACATTAAATATATGGCGCAAAAATAATTTATAGCAACGAACCAGCATAAAATATTTGAGGTTTTTTTAATATGTTTTTGAATGTTAAAAACAAAAAAAATAAAAAATAAACAAATGATCAAAAAAAGTTGGAATAAAAATAAATAAAAATATTTCCAGAGTTTCATTTGTTAAAAGTCTACCATGACGTCAAATACTAAAACTTTTATGAATTAAATGCGCTTCAAAGGAATCACCAAAGTCTTTAGATTGCAATGTATAATTTAAAGACTCCGAGTTATTCAAAAAAATGGAGAAGGCGAGCTTCGGCTAAAACAACAATGTTAGGTTTTCTCGGTATGCATTCATTATTTATTTTTAATCAAAAAAACTTGGTTCAAACCTTTTTTTTTTAACATTATCTTTAATATGAACACAACATGTGTTGGGAGTTTAGGACCCCTTTAAAGATAAGAATTTTATTGATTATCTGAAGTGACTACAAAGCAACTTTGACATATTTTATCTTCATAATGGCTTGGGGAAATTTCCTAAAATTTGGTACCCCATTAGATTTTTACTTGAGGAATCTAAAAACAGCTCAAGACTTGATTGTGTCTGAAGAACCTCATTTATCTAATTTTGTTCAAAATTATTGATTTGCAAATTCATGATTTTTGGAGGTAAAATGAAGAACCAAAATCTATAAAAAATGAGTAAAAAGTTTAATTATATATCAATATTTCATATTTTATATCAATAGTATATTAATATCTTAGGTCTAATGAAAAAAATTAGATTCATCAATTGTCTCTAATACTTGATTAAAATTTGCATTTAAAAATTGTGTCTTTTTAGAAAAATTTAAATTTTGTACCGAAAGCAATTGAAATGTTTTTTAAAACATTTATTTGAATAAAACATCCAACAGTGTTATTTATTGGCTAGTTTAGGACATTTATAGTAATGGGCCAAGAGAGTACCAGGGGGTTTCTAACCAACTTTGCCACCCCCCCCCCTCCAATCTCCATTTAATTTTTTTTTTTTTTTAAATACATAAAATGAATTAATGATAAATAATTATTAAAATGCAATTTAAAAACATAATTTTTTTTTAGTTTAAGTTTGAGTAACAACTTATTTTCATTAATTTAAATCGATAAATACTTACCTCTTATTTCAAATTAAGCACTCAAAACTGAGATCTTTTCACGATTTTAAAAATCAAAAATTTTTAAATCAAAGATATTAAATTATTTTAAATATACTTTTTATTTGTAACCAACTGCTTATATTCTCCAAATCTAAATCAGATATGTTGTACGTATGATCTGATATTGTTGTGGGTGTAGAAATTAGGCATATATCTACAGAATTGAGCACTGGACATTCATTTCATAATATTATAAAAAATTTTTAAACACAACTTCCCAAGACTGAGAAGACCATTACAGTAAAGCTAGTAACACTTTTTTTTTAATTTTTGAATATATATTCTTACAAATCTCCAATCTCCAAAACATGAACCATGAACCAAAAAATCTTTTGGAAATAAGAGAGGTCTCATCCCTAAACTTTAAAAACTAAAAGTTTTAAAACATTTTTTACATTAGAATTTGCTTTTTTTG